CTTAACTCTATAAATGCTTACTTTTGCTCAAAAATACACAATTTTGGTAAAACTTGTGTCAAAATTATATAAATCTGACGTTTAATTTAATTCTGACATTAACATTTAAAGTCAATCACACTGTAGTGTCGTCATGGTAGCGGGTGGGAATGGAACATTCTTACCAGCGCGCTACAGCGGGACAAATGAAAGTCATTAATTATTAACAATTGCGAATACAATCGGCGCATTATTAACCACTCGGCAAAAAAGCATAGTGTTTACCTCGCGTACCTCGGTAAACAAAATACACTATTGTTGTTAAATTCGAAAAAAGTATTTTGTTGTAAACAAGTGAAAAGTGAGGTTAGAACCGAAATTAAGGTAAATGTGGAAATTCATGAGAAAAACCTAAAATGGATATTTAAGAGCCTTTCAAAATAATACTTTACACCAATTCAAAAAAGCATAAAAAAGATGGAATTTAAGAAATCAGTTTAATGCATGCCGATATTTTTAAAGAAGAAAATGCTACAGCAGAAGAAGCACTAGATGAAATTAAAAGACTAAATAAAGAAAACGTTGTTCTTAAAACAAGGATTAGTACACTTAAAATGAAAGTTACACTAGCACAAAAAAAAGAAAAATAACGTAATCGAAACAAAAACAAGAAAATACAACAAAAATAATACAGCAAATGGGAATAAATGCTATGGAAAACGAAATAAAGAACTGTTATAGATTTAATAAACTAGATAAAAACTTATAGAACTTCGTCACTGTGTTTTGTTACAGACAAGACACAAGACACCGACAGACATACTGTTTCGATCTTTTGGACCTCTTCAGTGCCGGAGCATTAGCACGACCGTAATTTTCGAACGGTTTCTGCATAGCATTTTCCATATTTATAATGTCTTAAGAATAGTAACACGTTATTCTAAAGAATACGGTTCCATGACTTATATTTAAATTTCGCCAAGTTTTTATTTTTTGCAAAGTGAAACCTTGAAAATATGATTGTAAAAAACATTCCGATTAAGTAAATATATATACTTAATCGGAATGTTTTTTACAATCATATTTTCAAGGTTTCACTTTGCAAAAAATAGATACTTGGCGAAATTTAAATCCAAAGTTCCTATTGAGACACCATTTATTAAATATTTTATTTTATACCTACTAATATTTGTCGTAAAAAAGTATAGTATTCAACTCGTTTATAAACTTTTCTAGACAATCATTTCGAAAGCCCACTTGTGCCTAATTAAAATTCGTGATGTAGATGGCGTTTATAAAACTTGATTCTTAAATAATATACTATTTTACGGCGAAACAACATTTTTTAAATAATGTCGTATTGTTAAAGTCTAGCACTTTGTTCCTCTCATTAAACAAAAGAAAACACTTCTTCATTATTATTTTTAAATTTAAATTTCACGTCTACAAACGTACTTGCTTGGATATTTGTTAATTGCATGCAATTGTTACAATAAAAACTGACGTATTAATATAAAGTAAAACTGGCACATTGCAATATTTTCAGTTAGCAACCCAACCGCGGTTTCCTAGATAAAAGTGCCCGCGAATAGGGGTTACCAACTGAAAATATCGCAATACGCGTATACCATCGTATAGAGAAAAAATAAATTATAATTTATCTAAGTGAGTGCAATTATTTAGAAAAAATTAATTTATTAAATTTTAATTAAAGATACTTGGGGCTATATTAGTACACTCACAAAACACTAACAGCAAGGACGGTGCAGCAATTAAATTTTAAAAACGCTGGTGGAGGCGTAGCCATAAAACTTTCAGAACCCCACCGCCGCGGCGCGCCGCGGCGGTGCAGTAGACTGCTAAATAATTTTGTGAAGAATATAATTATGGTTATGTTATAATTATATGAGGTTAATAATATGTTTATAAATTTAAAAATGTCAATTATAAGTGGTTAAAAAATGCAATAACTTTGCCTTCGATGAAATATAGGTGACTTTATGTCCCAGGAAAGGAAAAGTTCCATTTCCAGCGTAGAAATACACATGTATATTTGTATACTATTATTTGCTTTGTCCTTTCAAAAAGGAATGCAGAAATTGAAATTAAAGAATATTTTATTTACTAAAGTCACTAAACGTTAATACTTCTAGCTCGTTAATAAGGATTATATTGTCCAGGACCATTAATGGCTAGTAATTACTAGCAAAGTGGAAAGTATTTAGAAGTGTTGGTATTTAACAATTTAACTTCATTTCGTTAAAAAAACTTAGTAGTTTTTTTGCCATAAATAAAATAATAATAGATTTGTAAAGTTGTTGTTATTGGTCTTTGATAAATACATTATTTTTATATTGCAAGCCCTATCAAAATTCTATAGGTTATGGACCCAGAAATACCCGGCAAATAAAAAAAATCGTTAATATACTCTGAAAATTGAAAAATGATTGAGGAGGCAGAAAATATAGAATACCATTATTTCACGACACAACTTTGACAATTGGAAGTTCCGAATTGAAACCTATTGGACGAAAAGGATTTAGTGCAATATATAACCAAAGCATTCACGGAAACAGTTGAGTTCCTCGAAAGTGACAGCGTACAAAAACGAACAGCAAATCAACAATTGACCGAGCACGAAAAAAAGGGACTAAAATGCAAATCTAAGATCACCCAGCGTATTACCGACAGTCACCTGAAGATTGATTTGTGGAGCACGCTCAAAAATACATTTCAAGGTAAAGGTATCGCCAGTCAATTGCTCTTACGCAAATCCCTTAGTATGAAACTCGATGCGAAAAATGATACGCTTATAAATCATTTTTTTAAAATTTACGCTCAACGGGTGAAAAATTAGAAGAAATTAATATTATCTCTCACCTTTTGCTGACAATGCCTCCTGAGTATAACAACGCGGTAACAGCCATTAAAACTATGTCAACAGAAAAAAACAGATTATTGAATAAAGAAAACAAAAAGAATGACATGACAAAAACCAGTGGTGAAGAACTATCTTCCTCGACGGCCAAAGGCACTAAAACTGTAAAAACCTAGGTCAATGTTGAAGCTAGTCCAAAAAAGGTATACGACATGAAAAATAAAATTTTTTGTAGCCCGCTAACAAACACAAGAGAAGAAAGTAGAAGCGAATACGAAGAAATTCCAGAACAACAAAATGTAAAGAAAACAGAACTTACAGAAGAAACTAAAGAATTTTCAAAATCAACAAGAAACAAACGATTGTCAATCCTGAAGACTGCTATTTTGGTAATGCATACAGAAACATTTTTAGAAGATGTACCAAAGAATTTTAAGGAAATTTCAACCCGCAGCGACAATGAAGAATCGGTGCAATCTGTGAAAAAAGAAATTGACATCCTTATTATAAATAAAACTTGGACATTGACCACTCTTTCTCCAGGAAAAGCACAATTAATAATAAGCAAGATCAAACTCTATAAGGACAAGAACTTCAAATAGTACAAGGCGAGACTAGTGATTAAGGAATGTGCATAACAATGGTATAGCTACTTTGTGAACTCTTTTTTCGATTTTTATCGAAACAAATCTTATGACCTGTTACATGGACGTCAAAAACGCATTTCTACGTGGTGAAATTAAAGAGAAAACAAGTTTCTCGAGCCTAAGACTATTGATATTTTCTTGAAGGAACTAGATTCTAAAGTTCTGAAGTTGACAAATGTCTTTATATTTTGGGATTTAATGACATTTGGTTTTTTTGGTTCAGTATTGAGAAAAAAATCGATTAAGTCAAAGATGGCTTGATTTTAATTAAATTTTTGATACAAAAATTCAAAAAAAAAGTATATTATATCACGAGAACTATGAATTTAATCGGTTAAACTACGCTCAGTAGTTTTTTGTTTGGTTTTTGTTGGAAAATGTTGAATGCAAAATAATTTAATAAAATCACGAGACCGCGTAGCGATCGAGGGGTTTTATTTTTAATTATTTTGCATGAAACTATTTTCCAAAAAGAAAAATCAAATAAAAAACTTACTGAGCATAGTTTGACAGATTAAATTTATAGGTTGAGTGATATACGTCTAGATTATTTCTCGAATTAAAGGAAACTATTTGACAATTCATAAAATCTGACGTATGTGTCAAAATTTATAAATATTTTTTTAAAGAAAAATCCATTAATTTAAGGTATTTAATAAGTAATAATTGACATTTCGTAAACTAGATAACTTAATTTTTATTGTTTTTTAAAAAATGTTTGTTAAAACTTGTATATAACACCATAAAATCGTAAACAAAAATCCAATATGGAGGCTAAAATTTAATCGCTGTTAAATAGTTCTAGTGATTTAATCGCTTATTTAAACAAAATTTATTCGAAAATTCAAGGCTTTTGATTGGTTCATATTATAATGAGGGAAATAATCTATTATGTTTTATTTTGTTTTCCAATCCATTTCTATTTTGATTCAAATTTATAAAACTCACTTTTTTTCGCATTTTTTCTATTTCTAATGGAAAAGCATTAATAGAATAAAAATTATCACATCAGTTAGATACGATTTTTAATATTTGCTTAAACGTGTTGTTAAGTAGAAAAGTATTGCTAACCATAAAAATATTTACGACTTTCTCTCAATAAAGCGTGCTCTTTTCCATTACTAATACGAAAAAATATGTTTACTGCCTAACCATTTGTGGTTGTTTTGTAAGGCTACCCTTAGAAAGACCTACTTTTTCGTAGTAGAGACCGTAAAATTCAACTTTATTATGGTGTAAGAAGAAAATAGTAGATTATGTCATTTGTCATTCGAAAACTGAGTCTTTTTGTGCTGAGCTCAAAGATAAATAATATTTAATCTCAGTTTTTAATATTTTCTTAAAAAATATAACATTTTTTTTTATATTATAAGGTGAATATATCTATAAAATCAATTAATTTTGCTACATTTAAATGTTTGGACAAATAATAATAATATAACTTTAAAAAAGCAAATGAAAAGTGGGCCAAAATGTATAATGTTTTACTATTACAGGTGGAGTTTAAAGGATTAAGTGGACCAATTGAATTTAAGGAAGGTCACAGAATCAAGTTTAAATTGGACTTATTAAAACTCAAACAGCACGCTTTGGTTAAAGTTGGTGAATGGCATCCTACTGCTGGGGTCAACATTACAGATCGAGAGGCTTTTTTCGATCCTGGCACTATGAACGTAACACTTGTTGTTACTACTATATTAGTAAGTAGTAGAATGTTTTAAATAACGCATGCAGTTTATTTGTTTAGGAATATAGTGGCGTAATGGTAATAACATTACTTATATGTATGTAAATCGAAATTCCTTAAAAATATTTCAACGTTCAGTTATATTTCATATGGTAATAAAGTAAAATTTTAAGAAATACTTTTGTCATCAAATTTAAGGATTTAATTAAATAAAACACATTTAGGAAATACCGTATATGATGATGCACATGGGTAAGAACTACACTGGTAATAACAGGTTTTATGGGTTTTGTGTCGATATCCTGGATAAAATTTCAAAAGAAGTGGGATTCGAATATCTCATAGATTTAGTGCCTGATAGAAAATATGGTGCATGCGACCCAGAAACTGGCTTATGGAATGGCATGGTTTTGCAACTAATGCAGCATGTATGTATGTTCGAACTTTTTTGTCATTAGATTAAGTAGATTAGTTATTGTGATTTTTATGAGCTTGGTAACGTAGTACTTAAGTATGAATGTAATATCGTTATATCAAAACTTACATCAGTATATTCCCCACTTAGACCAACATACTTTACCACATATGTAAACATAATTCTGTAGTCTGCACTTAAAAGGTCTTAAAAAGTAACAATAATTTTTTTAAGACAATAATAATATTTTTTAATAATAACACCTATAAGTATATATATAAATACTTTATATTTGTACTACTTCAAGCCCAAGAAGACTACATACAGGAGAAGTAAGTCTCGGAAGTATACACGTTGTATACAACGCAAAGTTGGTTTATGGTAATTAAACTATTAAACTATTTATTCGTGGTCAATCGAAGCAAGGATGTTCTGCTTTAGGTTTCCACGGGCGTTATACAGTGCTTGCAAATCCAAATCCGACCGCGTTGGAAAGGATGGTTGTTCAATACCCACGTGAAAAGAATAAGGATAGAATGCCAAACAGAATTTGATTGGTCAGAGCGTCAGGCGTGCGTATTGTAAGCGCCTTCTATTTGGTTTTCTATCCTTGTTATTTTCACGCGTCCTTCCCTAAACGGTCGGACTTGGATTTGCAAGCACTGTATGTATTAGTGGTTTTTAGGTATCTGCTCCGTGTTGTCGGTTTTTGGTTCTTAAAAGAACCGTATGTCTGACGACGTTTCGGTACAATCTAATGTACCATCTTCAGGTATTATCTGCTAGGCTGCTGTTGCTGCTCTGCTGCGAGTTAGACGTGGAGAGAGCTCCGTTGCCGCTGATCGTTGTTTATATACCCTCTTAGCTTTCCGCGTCATTAACCGTGACTGCGATTGAACCTGTGTTATGTTCGGCTCGTTAATCTACGTGGCGTTTTGGTGGTTGTAAGAGCTGGTTTCCATGCAGTTGGTAGTCTCTGGGTATCGTCTGTTGTGTTGAGGTTTCTTGACGTTTTTCTATTTTAATGGCTTCACGGATGGTACGTTTGGTCCTGTGTTTGATGTTAGCCAAGACCCTTGTTTTTTCAAAGTCAATTTAATGGGAAGTTTTTCGGACGTGTTCAGCTAAGATGTTTTTTCTTGTTTTAAGACTGCGTTACGATGTTCTTCGCGTCGAACGTTGATACCTCTATTGGTTTGTCCCAAGTACCTTGCGTCACAATTCTTACAAGGAATTTCGTAAACCCCTTGTGCCTTCAACTTTATTTTTGGTTTGGCGTTTGGAAGTATTTGACCGATCTTTCTTGGGCCGTTAATTGTGGTCTCAATGTTATGTTTTTTGAGAACTTTGCCTATTCTTTCGGTTGTCCCTTCGAAGTTGGTTTGTTATTCTCGTCCTCTGTAGTATTTAACCGGCGTCGTGGTCTAGGGGCCTTTTTTATGATGGTTTTGGAGAATCCGTTTTGCTGCATGGTCGTTTGGATTTTTAGGTTTTCTTGTTTCTTGTGGTCATCATCCGCCAGCCTTTCGGATCGCGTGAAAAGTGTGTTAATAACTGACTGCAGTTGTGACGGGTGGTGGTGAGACTGTGCGTTGAGGTAGCGATCCGTGTGTGTTGGTTTTCTGTAGACCGTATGCCCTAGTTTTCCATTATTTTTCTTGATAATGAGTACATCCAGAAAAGGTAATTGGTGTTCTTTCTTCTTCTTTTGTGAACTTGATCTTTTTGTGAATTCCAGGAAATTCCACAGAGAAGCGGATCTAAAAATCCAAACGACGCTACAGCAAAACGGATTCTCCAAAAACATTAGTATAAAGAATGTTTATAAAGAGCTTATGCAACTTCTCTGTATATTATTAGCATGCTGGTGGCAGGGAAATCGCGAATTTTAATAGGGGAACGCGCACATATTTAGTGTGCTTCAAAACCAGTCACAGCCTTCCTGCGTTTAGCGATTTTATAAAGGCTGTTATTATTAGTTCTCTGTTGCATTAATATTTTAACAATTATTTTGAACACTTTAACGGTGAAGTACTGAGTAATGAGGCTGTTATTGTCAAGTTTGCTGCAAATAAGGACATAAGAATGGACTTTACTTTTAAATACTGTACACAATGATAAAATATAAATTGGCATTTTGTTTTTTTTTAATACATACATATTTTAATGTGAGGTGGGTTTTCCCAAACCCTAAATGAAAACGGCGATTCTGCGAAATCAAAATAAAAAACACTTATGTTATTTATTTTTGGGTAACCTTTATTGATTATAATGCCTAGACACTTTTAACAAAAATAAGAAACAAACATTTATCAATTATTAATTTTTTTTGTGGGACTCAACAAAACTCACTTCAAAATTTATTTTTTATCGTAATGAGTAATAAAACTAAAAATCTAGTATAAAAAGATTACAAAATAGCGAAACACGTTCCTTAAATTCCTTAAAAAACATACAAAGGAAAAAAGTTTTAACAACATTGTATTTCCAGTAAACTCTAGTAAAAAAAACCTGGTGAGGTGGAGTTACGCAAACCCCAAATCGTAATATTGCACATCAAATAAAATATTGCACTTCGTTGACCGGTAGAGTACTGACGGACAATTGGCCGAAAGCTACACAGGGGGTAGCGAGCCTCGCACCATTATTTAATACGTGGTAAAGATTCTTAGAACGGGTGGGGTTTGGTTAATCTGATATTTTTTATTAAAACTTTAAAAAAATAATATTTGTGTAAGCCGCAATAAAATTCCCTGTCGCTTTTCATAGATCACGAGCCGCCACTATATCTTTTTCTTTAAAGTAAACCATGGCCAATGTTATACCATTTTAAAAACTAAACTTAATTATAAAATTTTTAAAATATCTTGGCAAGTTAGCCTGGCCGGCGAAAGAAGTCAAACCCTTATGTGGAGTAAAAGTGTGGGGGAAAGGTTGGTAAAGGAAGATGGAAAAAGACAACACTTTTTATATACGAAATTTGAATTTATTAAACATAGGGGGGTCTACCACATCTAACCAAATCTCACCAAGGGGTAGGGAGGGGTCCATATATATATATATGTGTATATACATAAGTTACTTGATGAAAATCACGAATTGAAAAATCTAGTTTTAACGTCAAAGGAACAAACAATCCCAATTCTAGCACAAATTTTTTTAAATGAGTTTGTATTTCACTGGGTAACATGTAATTTATTTGGGTAACAAATGGCGTCATTTACCCACATCTGATAATCCAGCTCACTCAATTCCTGTCCCCGGCCTACTTTTTAATTGGAAGGAAATTTACATCTGTAATTCCAAACGTTTTTGAAACCCTTATAAACTAATTGTCTTACTTTCAAAAATTGAAACAAATACACTGGAATATGCAACGCACAATATGGTATAATGGCAAATTTTTGTTAAATGTACATTTGCTGTGTCCAGTTAATTTTATTTTTATTTTTGACCTTTGTTGATAAGTTTTGTATTTATTATATTTAAATACCCCCTTTCTGTTAGGACCCATCGTATTTTTATTTTTAATTACTTTGTGTTTCTATATATGGCAGAAAAACTAGGTGAAATGTCCTGTAACCTAACTGTGTGAATTTTTTTGAAGTATATTACACTTTTCTATCACAAAGGAAAAAAAATCGATCAAATTGACCTGCCTGGACAAAATATATATACAAAATGTACATTTAACGAAAATTCGCCCATAAATCACTAAAAAGTCTCAGTTGGAGACATTGTTTAAGAAGAAAAACTGCCACCGCAAAGGTCGCAATACTCAGCTTTATCCAGGTACCGATGGTAGTCAAATGGCTTCATAAATTTAGGGGCGAAATGAAGAGAGCAGTTAGCAAAATTTTTTCACTTATAATAAAAAATAAGTATTGGTGATTGTAGTTAAACAGAAGGGCAATACTCGTATTGTGCTAAAACTGCATTCAAAACTTTGTAAATTTTAATTATAATTGTTGATACTTGATTATTTAAATGTTAATCTGAAAGATCCTTCTTTAGAGGCGGGCGAAATATTTTCTATTAGTATAACATTTAAAGCTCATTCACATTCACTTAATACGCGTAACTTAACTTAACGTACGTGATAGACGTAAGTTGAAATACATTGAAACCAATGCAGCTGTTTACATTCGTAGAAAACTTATCACACGTAACTTAACGTATTCAAAAGTTTAGTCCGGCTCAACTAAAGGGAATACGTTTCTTACGTGAGCCAATCACATGCCCAGTAAAACGATATAGCGCGATCTTGTTGTTTCACTTTTATATATAGAGCCAATCACATGCCCAGTAAAACGATATAGCGCTATCTTGTTGTTTCACTTTTATAGATAGATAGGCAACCCAGTCTACATCCATGTTTATATTGCGCGTGCTTGTATATTGCGTTCTTTGCGTGTATTAAGTTATTGTAAACAGACAACTTAATAGACGTAGGTTTCTTAAGTTAAGTTAAGTTACGCATATTAAGTGGATGTGAATGAGCTTTTATTTGTTAAATTGGACTGTAGTTATAGAACTTTAGCGTAGAGTAAAATAAGAACATAAAAGTTGCACTTTCCGCACTAGTTAGGTAAATAAAGTAGAAACCACTAATATATGAACGTGACTCATCGGGTGCCGAACATATCTCAGACATGATAGCAGTAATGTTTTACTTGTCTTGTACATTCGATGCAGCGGTAAATGTACTCACACGTAGGTTTTTAAGCATCCGGTCTAAAATGCGCCATCTGTGATGTAAAACTGCCTAGGTGTTGGACAAAGATGGACATATGACGCTTGTGTCCTAGCTTGTTACTTAATTTTATTGGAAGTCAGTAGAGTTCGTGTTTTAGGAATTTATTTTATTTTATTACATAGTAAGGCAACCAACTTTACCGTCGGCCATTTGTTTTTATATGTCATATGATCTTTGTTTTTGCATATCGTGTTTCTAATGAGTGTTTACGGATTAATAATCGTTTTAAACGTTGTAGTGGCAGTGGTTTATATTATGTAACACAGGTAGATGTCGTATAAAAATCCTTACCTAGAAATTCTAGGCTAGAATACAAAAATATTTTTATTATACATATAAATTTTGTACTAGTATTAGTTTAATACATTCTGAAGAAGCTACTGTGTAGCGAAACAATTGTCAATATTTAATAAATTTCGTGAAACTAACGCAAGTTGTTTTTATATCCACACAATTTAAATATCTTTCACTTTGTACCTGACCTGCGTAAACATTTTTGTTTTATGTCACCAATTCTGAAATATTTGCGTTTACAGTTAAAAGAATAGTATATTCTGTAACAAGTTTGACGGTTTCACGAGAGGGGAATATGCAATTCCAAACGTGTTTCAGACTATACTAAGAATTTAATTGGAAGAAAGTGAGGTTGAGTCGGTCTAAAAATTTGTTATTAAAATCAGAGATGTCGCCACGAGTGTACGTTCTGTAATCAGATGATAGAATATTTCATTAAAGTTAAAAGAAAAGTTTATTTATTAATTAGTTTCTAAGAAAATTACATTTTATTTAATTATCGTAGATGTTAATTATTAAAATTTAACTTTAAAAGCAAATATATGATTAGTATAGCAACCAACATTACACTCAAATTTTTTTACAAACGGGACAGCACTGGACCGTGACCTTCGATAGATTGCTTCGTACGAATGTGTCGGATGAGTCACGTTCATATATTAGTGGTTTCTACTGTAACTATTTTATATTAAATTGTAATTATGAAAAGTATTTTACTTTTTAAAGCATATATTATCAGAACATTTAATTTGCAATATGATTTTTCGATGCCGCTGGGATTCCAAAGAAACATTTTTTTTTCACTTTTATAGCCTTTCTTTGTATTAAACACTGGCATTATATTACGAAACACTAATTTCGCCAGGATGAAACCATATCTAGATTCTGCTCATGATACGACCTCAGTTTAGTGACAATTTCTATACATCGTTCCTCTGACTAAGAATAACAAGGGAAACATGGTAAATTAATGCTAAAAGTCGCTCAGTTTTTAGACGTGATTTTCGTGCAGTTTCAAATTTGATTGATTTTTGTTTTCGCTCGGTAAATATCTTCGTTTTTCAATTATCTTATCCATTTTGAAGAAAAAAGACGTTTTCAATTTACATTAGAAGGTTTATTATGCGACGTTTCACGGCACTTACTAAAACCGTGCGATGCAATTTTTATGAATAAATTTTTATATAAATGTGTTTTTTAAAACGTCTCGTTACTTTTTAAAGATATAACAAAACAAAATTATAATTAACAAGAGTTTAATTTATATAATTTTAAATTAAAACATTGATTTTTTGACAAAAGTTTTAAGTGCCGACCACAAAATTTTGCGCTTTTTGTTTTATGAATATTTTATTTAAATTCAATAAAAAAATAATGTGTATTATTCGTATTGCTAGGAGCAGCCCTACGTAATGTTAAAACAACAAATAGTTGGTAATGATAGATACGAGGGCTTCTGCATAGATTTATTAAGAGAAATTGCTTCCATGGTAGGCTTTGAGTATCGCATAGAATTAGTACCAGATGGTAAATACGGTGTAATAGATTTGGATACTGGGGATTGGAATGGAATAGTTCGACAGCTAATAGATAGGGTAAGTTTTTACTAATATTTAGAATCAATATTTTTAATATTAATTTTAATAATTTCTGTGATTTATATTAACTATAAACACAATAATAACTTTAATTATTTAATATGAATAGTTAATATTAATTAGGTAACTATTAAAATAATTATTAATTATTACAGTGTCCTAGTTTTTTTTTACCTTTTTTTTCTTATCGTTGCGACGGGGAACTGGTCATTCTTAGCAAATTCGAGGCCAAGGAATTCAGTTGTGACAACCGTTTCGCTAGGTTTGATCATGGGTTCATAAAAAATTTTAAAGAGGTATTTTGGAGTAATTTGATTTTTAATCGACCGATATCAAAATCTTTATTTTTTTTTGGTACAAGAAAACCGAATTTTTATAAAAGCCAACCCAGCAAAACCATATTTAAATTAGGTAAGAATGACCAGTTTCCTGACAGTTATATTTTTCATAAATCAGTGTTAATTACTAATCAATTATTTATCAATTATTATGTTTACCAGAAAGCTGACTTGGCTGTCGGATCGATGACCATAAATTATGCTAGAGAGAGCGTTATAGACTTTACGAAACCCTTTATGAATTTGGGTATTAGCATTCTTTTTAAGGTAAGTAAATATCTTCTAAATTAAATTTTAATTTAATAAGGAATAAATAATACTGTAGGTAAATATCACAGCTAAACGCTCGTACACGTAATAGTATATTACAAGGGAGGTAAGTAAATTTTACCAGTAAAGGACGAGTTTGCGCCCGAGCATGCGAGGGCTGTTAATAGAGTCCGAGACTGGTCAAACTTACCTCCTACGTGGTGTATAACCTGCTAGGTTTTATGTAATAAAATTACTTTTTTTTTTCGAGTGGTTAATAATGCGCCTTACCCTGTAGGTACATATTTTCATTCCCACCTGTTATCAGGTAAAAAAATATTTCATTCCCTCTCGATACCATGACCAGGCAGTGTGATTAACTTTGAATTAAATTAAATTAAACGATTGTGTATTTGTAAGCGATTCCACTAGACAAATAAGTAAAAGTAAATAAATTTCTTTACTCGCCGGCTCGCTAGGAAACTATCAACATCGGGAGTAATTGCTATGATTGCACGCTCGGTAAACAATATACTTATTTTTGATCCATTTATTTTGAAACTCACACCAAGTAATATTTGTCGTTAAAGGATGTTACATAGTCTGCTAAGATATTGTCGTAATTAAGACGTTGTTTACTCATGGAAGGTAGCTCACTTACCTCACGCCGTCTATAGCAACCACGGTAAATTTAACTTACATAGCAGATAAACATAATTTTTGGTCGTAGATTACAAATCCTTACTCAGTTTAGCTGTATTAAGTCTAAAAAAGTTTTCCTATTGGCAATCCGATCCATGGACCTTTGTGTCAACATTTCCATGCTTTTTATTTCACTTAGTATATATAATAATCTCAATTATACTTAATTAAAAAAAATCAGCAAAAAAACACTTTCCTAAATTATCTAAAAAAACCCTCAGGGATACGTGTTCCATTTGATGAATTAACCTTAAATTTTGCAAGAATTTCTTTTTTTTATTTTGAACCTAAAATTAATTTTAGGTACCTACCTACTTTAAAAATTCTTTTTAGCACAACAAAATGACATTATAATTACTTTTCAATTTTCATAGCCAGTGGGGCCCGGTTAAATATTTTTCAAATTATTTAAAATTTATAGAGAATAATATTCGACATAAGAAAGGTCACAAAATTTCTAAGCTGTTACTTTTTTTTAAATTTACTTTTTGCCCTTCTTTTGAGGCCCTGGGGCCCGGTACGGACCTGTTTTTTTGTGGATAATAATGGAAGGTAAGAATACAGCTTTTTCATGGTAAGGTGTTTTGAAATTCGCAAAGTTTTTTTCGGCCTGTTTCGGCCCACCCTAGCGGGCAGCCCAATTGATTTTTCCATTTATACAGGGTGTTTCTTAAAGAGATGCTCCAAAACTTGAAAATTAAATATCTTTGAATTTTTACCTAATACAGCTAAACCAATCATGGATTTGTAATCTACGACCAAAAATTATGTTTACGTGTCCAAGCGTTTAGCTGAGATATTTTCACCCCCCTACAGTGTAATTAAATAACTATAATACGGTTTTTAATCATACCACATGCTGTATTTAATTATTAAATTTTAATATAATAATATTGCGCCTAATTAACCAATTAACCAATTAACAAGCCCAAGAAGGCGGAAACAGCAAATTCAAGTAGTCAAGTCAGCTTTTAAATTAAATTCTCACACATGCTTTTTAAAAATCACTGATACCGCCTCAGTAACTGTGAGCTCTAAGTCAGCGATCAAGAACGTTTCTATTGATATTGGACGAAAAATTGTGTTTGTGTTATAATAGGGATCTCAGATCCCGTCAAATAAATGCGGTATTTATTATATATTTAAATGTGAATTTACCTTAGTAACAAAAATTACACATTCAACATTAATTAACGTCAAATTTACAATTTGCATTGTTTCATTGTGGAATTTTTGTAATGTAGGTAATTCACATAAATGCGCATTGACAGAAATCGGCAATCCTATCTAATACCTAAGTCAGTTTTAAAACCATTAAATGATACTCTTTATTTTCACAGCTTATTCCACCATCAAGTTTTCTTGTGTAAAGTTTGATTCTGGATTGTTTTTATTAAATCTATGATATCGTACAATTTTGGACAACCAAAAATTTGTCAAATTTTATAACAAATGTGCACCCACCTAAGTTTTTTTTTGCAAAAATATTGTCAAAATGCATTTTTTTGCAAATGACTCGGTCCCTGTATGAATATAATAATAAAAAAGCAAATTGAATCTATCTATTAATTTTTTTGCTAAAATATTTTAAGCGTATAATAATTTTTACATATTACACTCATAAGTCTATATCTGTACCCCAGAACCAAACTGTCCACTTTTTAAAATTACGTTAAAATTGTTTTTCCTACGTTTTACCCGCTCTTACCAATTGTAAACATGATTAGTTTCTGGCTTACTTAGTTTTTGATACATCAGAAAACTAAGTAAGCCAGCTACTACTTAGTTTATAATTCAAATTATTATAAACCTTTGTATAAAGATAAAGCTAAAATGTCCTAATATAATGTGTCAAAATCACGAAAGCAGAAGCTTATTACTTGCCCCGCACACAATCTTCAGCTAGCACCTCGTTAGTGAAAGATATGCTCGGCTTTAATGTGAGCTTGTTCCGCATGGTATATAATGTACTATTTTAAAGTAGTAATAATAATATGTATTTAATGAAATGAGAAAATATTGTTTTTTCAATATTTTAATTATAAAAAATAAATAAAAATAAATTTTTATAAATATAATACAATATTTATAGTAATTACTCATCAACAGGTCTAGTTAATTCTAAATCAATCTGTTTATCATCGGTTCTTCCTCTTAGTCCGAATAAATACCTGCTTGGTTTTGGTACATTTGTATAATTATCAGTTTTAGTTGACAAAATAACTTCTTTATTTGTATCTGTCTGAATTTGAATGGACCATTTACTAAAGTCTATATCTGTTTGTGTGGATATTGTCCGACAATGTATTAATTTAGCTTTTTGTAGTGCTTCTTTTTTTAAATCCCAGACATTCCAAGTATAATGGGGATCTATATATCCTTCATCCAAGTGATCTTCTGTTTGACACTCTATAGAAACACCTATATGAACTTTTGATGCTTGAGTTATTGTTATCTAAAATGTTTTAATTATACAGGGTGTAACATAAAGGCTGGTAAGAAATTAAACAGCGGATTTCTTAGTAAAAAATAATAGTTTTTTTATTTAAATTTTCTCCACGGGTTTTCATAGTTGCAGGGCGTTAATTTTCATTTTTTTTAAATATCTTTCGAACGCCAGAAGATTGGGACACGAAATGCTTATTCTGCCATTTTAAGAATAGATCATGGCATACTCGATTATGTTTATGTTACCATCATTTAACTGTATAGACTATGAAAAAATATTATGATATTGCTCTGGACGACCAGGAAAGTGAGACTTGCGACATTGTGCGGAATGTTTAATACATTATTGCAAGAAATGGCTCTGTTATTTGGTACTGAAATCTTGGAGAGCCAAGCTTTGAGTCTGTACCTCAGAGCCAAAGTTAGACAAGTCCAAAAACCTGATTTTAGAGGAGAGCCGTTTCATAGAAATCAAGCTTTAAACAACAATGCAAAAATAAAAAGGCTCTGAGGAACAGTACTGAAAATACCTTGCCTTGGAAAACTAAGTTTATATTTCTTATATTATATAATGAAATGTATGCTGAAAAGTCTTTTCAGCATACATTGCAGTAAGTGATATAAGAAATATAAATTAATACAAAAAGGACATACAAATTTTGGATATCTGCATTTTATCCCTATGTTAGGGTCGTTTTCAGAAAACACCCGACTTCCGCTGTCCGTAAGTTTGAATTCCAATAACTTTGTTAAAAATTATCGGATCTTGATTGATTTAACAACCAAGTGAAAGCCTAACAAGCCCTTAGTAAACTCTTTTAGAAAATGTTTGTTTAGTTATGTCAGAATATTTTTTTTTAATTTTGAAACTTGTGAAACACACATTTTCGCATGTCCCATTAGCGTTTTATAAAACTTACATACATGTTTTTTTTTAAATATTGAATAACCAGAACTTTGTGTTGCTTTATAGCAATCCATAACTTCCTTAGTTAATACAGTAAACAATTTATATATAAAATAATTAATTTTAATCTACATTTTTTAAATTTGACTCATGTCCCAGACATTTTTTCCGTTGCGTTATGTCCGTCGCGTTCCCGATAGAATATTAAAAAAAAAATATATATGTCAACTTTTTTGGCACTCACGTGATCAACAAATGATGTTCGGACGTACACATTACCCAGCTGAATTTATTTATTCAATTAGGAAGAAGATATCGGTTGAAACAGGTGCGGGTAACGCGAATGTAATAATTGTTTGTCCGCTAAGATACTCAAAAAAATAATGAAAATAGGATAAGAAAAAATACCATTTTTCATGTTTATGTTTATTTTAGAGCACTAAAGCTCATTGAGAGTAATTAATGACTGTAATGTCCTATTATTATTTTTTAAATATGGTTTCACAAAACTTTTTCCACTGCGTTACTGAGTCCATTATGTTACCTTATGGTAACGCAATGGAATTTAGGGTAACTCAATAGAATTTTTCGACAACAAAGTGGATATTTACCGTCGCTTTTATTAAAAGTAGTTTATGATAAACCAATTTAAAATTATTTGTAATTACAACTCATGATATAGATTACATCCAAGGGAAAATTCCACGCAATAAACAAGTACTAAAAGGGACCTTCACCAGCTTATAGTCAAAGAAAAGGGGCGTCTACAATTTAGAAATCTAAGTTGTTATTCTGCAAGTGAGCACCACTACAAGGGATTTTGTTAATGAATTACTCTAAAATCGTACCACCCTTTATAGTTTACTTTTTACGTTATCTGATTAAGTCCTTTGTATTACTAATGTCTATTTCGTTACTTTTTTTAGTTTTCACTTGGTAATACGTGTTTATAAATTAGAGT